GAGTTCCAGGTTCCCCCTTTGAAATGTACAAGCGCTCCAGCAGGGGCGCTTGTACATTTCAAAGAAGGAATGCAGAAGTGCCTATTGACTAGACAATTAAGCACATTTTAACATCCATACTCTGAACAGGAGTGAGCAGTGCAAAAAGGGGGAACAAGCTGGTGGGCCTTGACAACATCTTATATTCTGCCCAGGTTGGAGTCAGTGTAATGAGTAACACATGGTCTGTGTTGGCTCATTGTAGTCAAGTCCTGACAGGTAACCTTTCAGTAGGGGAAGTGTGACTTCTGAGAAGAGAGTCCTACAAGCATTGGTTAGCCTCCCACTTTAGTTCCACTTCGAGTGACCCACCTGCCCTCCCAGTCCCTCTGCCCTAGTGCTTGGCTGGCCACATTCTTCATTCTACAGGCTCCACACCCCTTTACTGATCCATAGACCACAGCCTGAGAATCCCTGGATTAGATGTCAGAAAGTGAGGGCTGGAGGGTGGATTGGAGAGGGGGCTTCCCTCTCCAGAAAACTTCCACAGAAATGAAAATGTGTCAACTTTCCATGGAAAAAAATAGACTTTTTTGGTGAAAAGTCAACATTTAATCATCTAAAAACTGAAGAAATGCTGCTTTGATGCCTTGTGGGAGGTAAAGTTCAGATGCTTCATGATGCCATTTTCCTTTGTAGGCTGGACTATATTACAGGCTCCCTCTGTTAACGACGGGAAGTGGTGCATCTTGGGAGTCCCTGACCCTGTTGCATTATGGGAAGTGTAGCCCAGCTAAGAAACCCAGCCCATAGGGGGGAATGGGGACATGAGGGAACAGAACTTCATGTTCCAGGATGGTTTATCCAAAACAAAATCTCTTGGCTTTCCGCCATTTGGAGTTTTTCTCAATATAATTTGCTGAGAATGGCAGGCTCTTTCCACAAAAAGGCTTTTAATAGAAACTCTACATGCCCTAGTAAAATAGCTTTGCTAGAACATTTTCAACCAGCCCTTCCCACTAATTTGGACTCTTCTCAATTTTGTTTTTCTGTTCAGTGATTCTGCTGTTGTCACTGGAATTACCTGGATTGTATCTTCTATGGATCGCTCTACAGAAGTGTAGCGAATCACTGAGCACATGGTAGGGGTCAGAAGCAGAGATCTCAGACCCAGGATCCAACAGAACAATGTTACGGGCATTGGAGGCACCTCCCACAATCTCTGCAATTGCAGCTCGTTCTCTCCTATTGTTTTGGACTTTGCCTCTGAACGGGATGGGGGTAGGGGATGGGGGGAACAACAGGTTGTTAACTTTGCATGAGCAGATTATTTTCGATCTCATTGTGGCAGGGAAGAACGTGGTAGCTTTAAGAAACGCTGCATTGCAAAAGTCTCTCAGAGCTGGGGAAAAGTTTTGCACTATTGGCCAAATGTAGCACTGGGAGATTCAAAGAGGGCTAGAAAAGGATTGATTTTTGCTACATTGCTCATGCTTTTCCACCATAAGTGGCAGATACAATTTACCCCTGAATCTTCCTCCCACACTGCTAAGAGGACATACTCTACAAGGCTCATGACTACTGAGATGAGTGGGGCTACCCTGTCTGTTGTATCAACATTGCCCCCTGCTGGCTCTCCCTTACTCCTGCCCCATATCTAAGACCTATTTCTTGACTAGATGGAATTGATCTGAAAAGACCAGATTCCTGACCAGTGGTTCTTACTGTATTGATGTGTGACATACTGCAAATTAACCTCTTGGTGCCCCAGTTTTATGAAATGGGGCAAATACTTACCTACCTCACCTGGGTACCGTGCAGCTTAAAATATTATTAGCTAAAGCACTTTGAGGCCTTGTCGCCATGGAGAATTTGCCTGCATTCAATCATGCAGTGACCAGCCGCTGCAGTGACCAGCCACTACACACTCCAGATACACACAAGGAAATCTGTGACTGACATGGGTAGATGCTCACTTCAGTCTCAAACAACAGTTAGTTCCACTGAAGCAGGTTGGGGCTCTTCTCAGCCATGTGTGTGATTTGCTTTGGTGCTGCCAGTGATGCCAATTGCTGGCCAATGTGGATCAGCCCTTGATTGGAGATACTGCCTGCCCATTGCGTTAGCATTTCATCCAGCCAGGCAATCTGAGGCTAATCTATGGCAGGCTACCGGGCTTTATCGTCAGTAGTTCATTTTAATCATTTGCTTGTCATTTAAACTGGGCTAAACGAGGAAGGCCTTGCTGCAGAGTGGATTGCTTACCTTCTCTCTCCCTTTGTGTCTCATACTTCTTACAAGGCTTTCTCCATACACTGGAGTCCCTCAGTGCTCCTGTACACCTCTATCACTCAAGAATCAGCTGTTCTCTTGCTTTTACTTAAGCGATCACAGAAGTTCTTGCCATAGGTAAGGGTGTAGAACAGGGCTTACCCTAAATCTTCTGCATCTCAAGTGAGCACCCTAAGCCTTGGACAGTAATGGGGGAAGATGGCTCCCTCTCTTAAGCCCTGCGCTTATCACCACTTCTCTTCTGGCTAGTTTAAGCCATTCTCTGCTGGCTTCAGTAGATCCATCCCATACATACCTAACTCTTCCCAGGTCTTGTATGGGGAGCAAACAGGCCAACAGTAGTGGTAACGGCAGCCAGGAGCCCCGAGTCCTTTTGAATTGCTGGGCCCTGGGGCACTTGCCCCCTGGCTAACAATTCCATTAGGTGGCAAGCTGCCCACAAGCTAGGCATTACAATGCTTAAGTACTGTTGTGGACTGAGCCCTTGTCAGTCTTCAATGAGGCCTGACAGGTAGGTGTGAGAAATATTAGTGTCAGTCACAGTAGAAGACACTCTTGAATCCCTTCACATGAAGTGCCGGAGCAGGCTGAGATCCACTGACCTGGAGCCTATTGTAGGATCAGGGTCTTAGAGCATGGAGGGGTGTGAGCCACACAGACCTTTTAATGCGGCCAAGCTAAGCCTACGTGAGAGAAACTCATGCCACAATGTTTCATTGGTTTAATTCACACATAGGGCTTATCCACATGAGGGGTTTAAAATCACACTCACTTTCTCTAGCCAGCACTCAAATGACCTTCTCAGCCCACATATGCTGCAGTTCTTCCAGGTGGATAAACTGGCCTGGTAATACTTATCCTACAATCCACTCTGAAAGTTCATTGCACATTGAGATGGAGCAAACTAATGTTCACACTCAGGCACTGCTCAGTCACAGTAGGCTGGCAGTACGCCAGCTTCTATCTCACTGTACTTCGCCAGGACCAGTCTGTCTGTTTACCTGGGTGTTCTCCACTGCTCTGGGGTCATGTTGCCCAGATGTTCCCTCCCTGTTCAAATGCTGGCAAGAGGCCAGGATCAGCCCATGTGTTCCTGGAGTACAGCCCTCAAGCTTTCCAGCAGTGCAATTGCTGCCATCTAATGCCTTGTGCGGCAGCATGGAAGCATGCAGAGGTTTTTGATCAACTTGCCACCTGGGGAAGCAAAGGTACAGGCAGTCCTCTAAAAAATCAAAACATTGTAGTCTATGCAGACGTCTCTAAATAAATAAGGTCACAGAGAGACCCTATTCAATACCATAACACTAACAAAGCACTCAAAAACCACTACAAGAAACAAGTCACAAAAGATAGACCTCTAGCAATGCTCACATGACCTATCTTTACTATGAGGGTTTTCTGGTTTTCTGCTGGAATGCCATTCCTGGTACAAATTCTGTATTTAGATAAGTCCTCAATGTGTAGTTTAAGGAGTAAATTGAGACTCTTCTAGTTTTCTTAAATAATCAAGGTATTTAAATGTAACCCCCCCCCC